AATATCGCTGTACCAGGATATGCCAGGAGTTGAAGAAAAAGACCTGGAAAAAAAATCACAAAATACAACTTGCCCATCAAAACTATGTGATTATGGATGGAACATGTAACAGTGATACCCATTGTCATTGGGGCACTTGGTACCATGTCCAAGAATTTTATAAAATACATCAAGAAATTGCAGCTTCCTGCAATAACACCAGCAGAACTGCAAAAAACTGGCAAAATTGCAGGCCAAAAATATAAATATTTGATCCAGGATCTTTCCCCACTTGTTATGGTCCTTTGGGATCATTCTAATTCTGATGGTTTGGGGGCTGGTCCAAAGACACTCCCCCACACCCCTGGTGTTTTTTTTGCTGTACAAGGGAAGACTATTCCAAACGCCTTTAACCACTACACTGTACTGCTGTCCGTTAAGATTACAATTGCCATTAATCTGGTGTGGTAACATGGTCGGTGTGGTGAGGATGGGACTTGTAGTTCGTGGCAATGGGACTTGCAGTCCACCTACTGAGAGTGGCATTGTGTACGGATGGCAGCCTCAAAGTTGGAGGTTGTCCTCCATCTCTCAGCCCGCCCATAAAAGGGGGCAAAATCTGCCGCCTATTTATAAAGCTGGAGACTTTTATTTATTTATGGCAAGAAAATATTTCTTTTAAATGGGGGCCAAAGGAAATCACCTTTGCTATTCTCGTTAGGGTTTTTTTCCCTTCCTTCCTGGGGAAGGAAGGGGTAATTTGCATTGGTCTTCAGTTTGCAACTGGCGACTGCCAAGGATTAAAAAAGAAATCGATTTTATTTCCATATCGCCGGAAGCGTTGGGAGGGAGATTGCAAACAAACAAAAAAAGGTACTTTGCAAAAGAATGCAATTGCAAAACTACTTTGCAAGAGGGGACCAAGAAAAAACCGCAGGCTTCTCTCCAGTCTTTGATTCATTCGCATGCAAAACATTGAATTAGAGGCATTAAATTCCCTGGGGGAAAGGGATTTGCAGGGGTGGGGAGGAGATTCGGCTTTAATATTATTTTTTTAAAAAATGCATTATTTTGTGGCCGCCGGAAAAAAATCTCTTCGGACCCTCTTCGTCCCACTCCAGACCCAGATAGAGAGAAAAAAGAAAAAGAAAGCAGTGCTTTCTTCCCCCACTCTCCATTTCTTAATGGTTTCTTCTATTCTTCCCTTGCCAGTCACTTACACAGAAAAGGGGCTTTCTTCGCATCTTTCCCCCCCCCATGGTCCGGACAAATGGAATGCTCCGCGTGCGCGGCGTGCGCCCCCCCCCCCCTACCCCCCTTCCCCGCGGCGACCCCCGCCCCCACGCGCACACTTTGAGGGGCGTCGAAGCCAAAAAGAGAGAGAGAGCGAGAGAGACAGAGAACGCATGCGCAAGAAACCTTCAGTGATTCCTTCGTAGCCGCCTTCGTTTAAATCTCCGCGTCTAAAATACAATGGCAAAGCCACGCCCCCTTCCGGGCTTTACAGCCACGCCCCCTCTTGCGGGGTGGCCCGATGTCTGCTTCTAAGATGGCAACGCTGACGTCATTTTACCCTTATCTTTTTAAACCCCAGGCGTCTGTCCTTCGTTGTTGTTATTGTTGGCATGTGGTTGCCTGGTTCACCACAAATCTGGGTTGTTTTTATCCTTTGCACCGTAGCTTAATAAGCAAAGAGCCCAGAATCTAATCCGCCTTATCTGCCTTGATTTTAGAGCAATAAATGATTCTTTGTTCATTTCAACCACCAATTGTCTGGGCAGCAGCAAATTCCACTTTGCATGTGTGTTTTAATGTACAGCTTGCATATAAAACAGTTGCAAGAGAGCTAAAAATAAAAGGATTGCGGCTCTGGAATCAGGCCACAAGGACATCATAATAATAGTTCAGGTTACTGATTAACCAGATAAGGCCTGTTATTATCGCTCTTTGATGTGCCATAAAAGCCTCCAGTGGTTGCTATATCTGGAGTCTGGCTGGAACTGTACACAGATCCTGTGTGCATGAAAACCTTTGGCCTATTTTCCATAGCAATGCAGACATACAGATTGCTGGAGAG